GCGGCATGTGGGATCCTCCCGGACCGGGGCACGAACCCGCGTCCCCTGCATCGGCAGGCGGACTCTCAACCACTGCGCCGCCAGGGAAGCCCCAGAATTGTTTTCTGTTGTTGTTTTATAAAAGCCACAGGCAAAGAGCTGCAGGTGCTCACGGTGAGCGGCCTTGACATGTAGAGGTGAGTGTGAGTGGAGAGAATACAGGTGGAACCCTGAGAGCATCTGCACTAAGGGTCTCACACCCATCTAGAGACATACCTCTAGGAGTTTAGGGCCCACATTGCTAAGGGATGTTCATCCCTTCACTCAGCAAGATGGCCATGACCCAGGCAAGAATGACCCAGCATAGCTGTTCAATTATTCTTGAATTTGATAAGTAACTGCCATTTTCATTTTGGCCACTGGATGGTGGTAAAGATGATTCCAAGCTGGACCTGGACGCCACCCGGATTTGTGGTTTTATATCAAGCCCTCACATTTGAGTGGCCTGTGTCCAGCCCCTCTTCCCTTCAGGAATACAAGAGGAGTCTGCAGGCCCCCCTTTCACAGCCCCCATCTTCACACATCTACCTGTGTTGCTCTCCCCCGCTAGAAATGCACTCGCTGCTTACTATGAGATCAAACTCACATGTGTCCTACTTTGTGAGGCCTTCCCAAATTCATGGCTCCCTCCCTCCCTTAAATCTATCTGGCTTGCAGTTGTACCCACATTCTTTAATGCTTAACTAGATACTATTCTATAATTTGCTGTATTGTCATGTGATGCTTTCTCTTAAGATCATAAAGCTCTTCAAGGGCAAGACCAATGTCTTATACTCCCACATCTCTCCTAGAAACTAGTATAATGTGGAATGTACAGCAGGTGCTTAATAAATTGTTGCTGGTTGATGGCTTGTAGGATGGAAAACACGCTCTGCCTTCCCTGTTCATTTATCTTGCTTGAATATAATTTTGCCGGGGAGCATGACCATGTGATTTCTTTAGATGTGTCTTCACCTCTCATCCTTGATGAATTTTGGTTTCAAACTTGATAAGCAATAAGCATCCATTCTGCCTTAGGATCTGTTGATACTTACTTTATATGGGGAGAAACTCATAAAGAAAAACCAAAACCAAACGCCTGACCACCTCTTTTGGTTCAAGTAGTTTGGAAAGGTGTAAATTGACCTCAATCTCCAGTGGTCCATTCCCATTTGGGAGGGCAGAGCCCTCTGCAGTTCCCAGCAAGTACCGTCAAAGTCACCTCTCCACTACACGTGTCCTTATGTACATGAAGTAAAGTCTCAAAACATTGGCCCAACCCATACTCAAATGTAAACATGAAACACATTTTTTTTAAATCAAGGACGAGTGGTTTTCCCAGTTGTAGCATCAGTGTTCAAGAGATCACCATTCTGATGTCATTCAGCTTTGAATTTCTCAAGAGGGAGCCCAGGGTAACAAAGACTTGTTCTAAGAGGCGAACTTAAAAAACGATGCTGGTACAAAATCAGTGTATCTCTGGTGAGTTTAACGGAAACACCAGAACTGTTCATTTCTCAGCATTAAAGGGGAGATTCCTTTGCTCATTCTTCCATGGGCTCCACGAATTTGTCAAATACCATGGCTTTGTCAATTCCTTCCAATTGTCTCAGTAAAAACCGTATCTCTGCTATACAACTAGCACAAGTGCTCAAAAAAAAAAAATCTTCGTAATACTCAGGACCTTAATTTTTTGAGTTTTGCACTGCTGTCTCGTTTTTATTCTGGTTTTGGTATAGCATGTAGGCAAGTGGTCATACTGAATAAACTGACTGCTCTTAGACTCTTTATGCCCACACATCACCTGGGCATCTCAGGAAAATACAGATTCTGATTCAGCCTGGGGTGGGACCTGCAATTCTGAATTACTGACAAGCTCTCAGATGATGGTGATGTTGCTGGTCAGTGGAGCACACTTTGAGTAGCAAGGCTCAGAACCTCATCTTCCTGCTTGACAGGGCTTTGCACACAAAGGAAGCGTTCACTTCTTGTACAGAAGTATCTCTGGAATGAAAAGCTCTGGGAGTCTGTGGGCTCCAGTTTCAAGGTTCTCTCACAGCCCAGCGTGCCAGAAAGGGATTCTCCAGCAGTTTAGGTGAGCGAGTTGATAACTCTCCTCTGTCACTTAATTTACATGACTACAGTGTTTCCCTGGGAAACCTTCCCCACATAAGTAGATCCACAAGCCCTTCAAAGGGAAGAGTGTGTCAGAATTGGCAGAGATCAGGAGAACCAGGCCAAGTGATAATAAGGCCCCTTGAAACTCTGAAATGTAAAATTTTGCTGACTGGGGATTTTAGTCATTTAGGTCAGTGCATTTCTTCACCTTCCCTTGTCTAAAATTTCTTTTCATAGGGTTATAAAAGAAACCTACAATTATTTAGGATCGAAGAAAATTTCTCTACCTTCCTGGTTCTCTATGCCTAAACTCTTCAAACAAAACTAACCTCAGTTTAAGTGAAGATTAGCAATTTTTCTCAAATCTGAATATGTTTTGGAATTCCCTGGGAATTTTATTAATGTTCATATTCTGATTCAATAGGTCTGAGACAGGAGGCCTGAGCTTCCGCATTTCTAACAAGCTCCCAGGGCTACTGCTGCTACTGCTGGTCTGAGAACCACACTGACTAGATCAGTGGATTGGTGGACCCAAAGAACCTTTGCATAATATATCCTGACTAATTAATGCCATTTAACTGCCTCCATACTCTAAAGCAGTGGTTCTCCACCTTGAGTAGGTATCCCCTGGAGGGCCTGTCTAAACACAGATTTCAGATCTCACCCCCAGAATTTCCAATTCTGTAGGTCTGGGGTGGGGCCTGAGAATCTGCATTTCAAACAGGTTCCCAAGGTGATGCTGTTCCTGCTGGTCTAGGGACCAAACTTTGAGAACCACTGCTATAAAGCATCCTAGTAATTAGCTGCCAGGACTAATTCTAAAAGTGCAGTTTCTCTCTCTCTGTAGAAACCTGGACAACAGATACAGCAGGGTGAAAAAGTTATTTGTTCAGCCGTTAATTTTGAATGATGCTGTCATTCAAAGGAGACTACATAAGCCTAAACCTTTAAGTTTGCGCTTTAAGGCAAGCATATTGGACAGAGGGCCCTGCCCCTGCCGCCTGTCTCCAGGAGCTGGAGTTTAGGAGAAGGGGGCTGAGTAGAAGAAAGGATGCTCAGAGATGAGGGGGGGAGAGAGATAACCCCCCACTCCACACACATGCAGTGTGGATGTTGTTACTACCATCAATGTGATTACCAAAGCTTCCTTCCTTCCAAAGACTTCCCACACAGGGTCACCTGCCATTTGCCTTTGCAGAAACATAATTTACATCAGACCAGAAGGCACACCAGGTACAAACAGGAGCGACATGTTGTGTTTCTGAGACAAGAACCCAGCTCTGTGGTTGCCAGAGGTGAAGTGTCAATGGGGAGGACCCTGGTAGCTAATGTTCAGTTTCAACTACTGACCGATGTCAGTTCTGTTAGAGAGAGGTAAAGTAGAACTGGAGTGAAGTTCAGTAAGTACTGATTTTGGCATAGTAGGATTAGCAGGATTCCCAGGGGAGAAGACTAACCACCTTAGTCACTCAGTTGACACATTCCAAATCACCGTCTCCTTTTATAAAAAGTATCTGTACAGTCTGTGACTACCTTTTACTAACCAGAAGCTTTGTTGACATGGCCTCGTGCTCCCAGATGATGTAATATTGCATCAGTCTATATTTTTAGTTTGAATTACTCAAGGAGGATTTTAAAATAGCATATCTGATCACCCATCGTCTCCACTTCTAAAGCCTTAGACCTACACTGTCCAATTCAAAAGCCACTAGCCACATGTGGCTATCTGATTTAAGTTTAAATTAATTAAAATAAGAAATTCATTTCCTCACTTGCACTAGCCACTTTTCAAGTGCGCGGTAGCCCACATGTTCCTGTAATGGACAGGACAGATAACATTTTCATCATCAGAAAAGTTCTATCCGACAACACTGCTTTTCACGAAGAAATCACTGATGCATCATACAGCTTAACTAATAAGCAGAGGAATCAAGATGGAAACACACATCTGGCTTCTAAAGCATCAGTAAAAAATTAACTCCACCACATTGCCCCCAAGAAATACAGAAATAGATGAGCAAGGCGTGGCCCCTGGTGCCAGATGGCCTTGAAGTAGTATTTCAATCAGTAACAGAGTAAGGAGGAGCTTTCGGTTTCAGCTTCGACATGAAAAGAGCTTGGAAGTTGTCATCCCCATCCTTACAACAGGA